AAGCGTTTTTTAACTGAAGATAAACCATCACTAGTAACAGTTTCCCTTCATGGACATCGTAGACCAACGATAGAAACTGGCTCCAAAAAGACCAAGGTGATTATCAATATCCGATCACTTAGGACGGACCAGTAATGGGGTATTTGAACAAAACAATTGGAATATATCAGGAGATGCTACTTTTGCTGCTGGGTGTCGATTCTGACCATAAAACTGCATGTCCACAGCATTACATATGYCCCACCCCAGCGTTCCTTCGTTGAAGGTTTACGACAACAACCTCTTGCACAAAAACTGTGTGTCATTTAGATGATGTCAATTTAACATACAATCATCTATCATTGATAATGGTATAGCTTTCAATTAATCCCATATAGATAACTGTCTAATTATTGAACTTTCAGTTAGCCCAAAATTGATAAATTTCCTTAACTACATTTAATGGGAATTCGAAGATAATTCAATGATTTTTTGCAACTTAACACATTTTATCGACCTTAAACATTCTATGGGGYTTTTATGGTCAGAGTGCGGTCACGTGACCTCTGACGTAAAAAATATCGTTTTTTAAAATGGACCAATAAGGAAAACAGGACTATTAACTGTTTTTATCATGTTCCACTCGTCTTAATGTGCTCTAACTAAAACTGCCCTAATCGCTGGACCACCACTCGTGGATAAGGAGAAGTAAGCAAAAATATGTGGTCACGTGACCTGTTTTACGAAATATCTCCCTATATAGGAGATGTAGTCCAGTTGTTAGGGCAGATTTGTAGAAAGCTCAATTGGTGAACAAAAAATCAGCAAAATAATTTTCGTTTCCTCTTATACCCATTGGCCCATTTTGAAAAAGGTAAATTGTGACGTCACAGGTCACGTGACACTCCTCTTATCACAAAATGTGTCACAAAATGTTAAGGTTGATAAATTACATCATATGGCTAAAGAACGTTTACAATGCCTAAAGTAAGCTCGTAAACCCCCTCCTTTCCTTGTCATTTAGTTTTTAAAACAAATTATTCTGGTAGTCAAAAAGGATAAAGACTTTCAGAAACTGCCGGAAAGTGAATAAGAAAGAAACCGAYCGAACGTAAGTCCGTGTGTACAAGGTCCTTTGCCAGAGAAAGAAAGCAAACGAAACTGCAGGGTTTTTTGTTCCGTGAACCTTTCGTTATGTTTTGTTTTGGAAGCCAACACAACTACTTAAAGAGATCAAGCACTTTAACAAAAGTATTCACCTTATGCTTAAAATTACTTAAAATCCTTCACCAAGAAAAACATCGCGTGTATCACTGAGATTTGAGTATCTTGTTTTACTATAATCAGGGGCGGATCCAGGAATTCGTTAGGGAGGTGTCCCAAATGACGAAATGTATACAGCTATTTATAACAAATACCAGTATTGCCCCAAAAAAGCATAAGAGTAATTACGTCATTAGGGGTGTCCCATGCACAGCAGGACACCCCCCGGATCCGCCCCTGATGATTCTTGTGCTACTCCGCGAGGTCGGTTCACGTGAAGGTCTAACAAAAGTTCCGGTTCGCCGGGGTAACACCACAGAAAGCCCAATGTCTGTAGTTATGCATCCCTCCTCATTAGTATGTAACTGAAACAGGGCTGAAAAACTTGTGCACATGCGTCAAATTACCCAACAYGGTCGCTTGAAAACTTCGCATCAAACATGAAAATAGAGCTAATCACTAGTGTTGCAATGTTTACYCAATTCAGCGTGACAAACCTTTTAATATTCAGAAGTATTCCATGAGAATAGGGAATGCATTCCAATGAGCTTCAAGACAATAGTTAACCAATCCTCTAGAGATTTGTCACGCTGAATTGGGTGAACATGATTGTCACACTAGTGATTAGGTCTATTGGCTGAGGTTTGCGAGGAAGAGCATTTTAGCAAAAACTTTAGAAAAGTTCTACATATCATAAAAATAAACCTTAACCATCAATTAATAGATTAAAATACAAATTTTTCTCAACTTTCAAAAAATGGGCTTAACATTTGGACTTTTATAGCTGATGTTGAGATTTTCTAAACCATAGACATTTTTTATAAGTAGCAGGTGAGCCCGCAATTTCAGCTAAACCGCTGACTCGTTTTTCAGCCCTGTTTGTAACTGATACATAGATACATAGCTTGAGCTCCCTTTGATGACGCAATTCCGCGTGACTGCGTCTTTCTGTTTTAGTAGTATACGTTACATATGTAATAATAATCAAACTTTGACTRTCTCTGATGTGAAAAGCTTATGTACAGTGGAAAAAAGCCACCATTTCCACGTTAAACGATTAAAACGAGCTCGTTCATCGTCATATGTTTCTCACCGGGAAACATTCATTATTTACAGGGTGGGTTACCAAAGGTCTAATAGGTCTGGTAAAATTGAGAGTTATGTCGGGGGTTAACGTTTCAAGTGAAATAATCTATTTTATTTGAGTAGGAGTCATCAAATCGTAAAGCAAATGGACCCTCTTTTACCCCTTGTAAATAATGAACTTTCCGTCGCTCAGTATTTTTATGACAATAAAAAGAAGTGGGACACGCACCTGGAAGCATTGCAGCCATCTGAAGGTGTACTCAGCATTATACAGTATATCATGGAAGCATAACATGTTCACAAAATTCAGGATTGATACAAAAAGATAAGCTATAGTCTTGCATTAGGCGATTCCATTCCCGCTGTCCCGCTGTCCCGCTGTCCCGCTGTCCCGCTGTCCCGCTGTCCCAGAAGTAACGGGGTTCTTTCAGTACTTGGACCATCACTTTCAGAGCTGTTTATACTTTGCACTCTCGGATTAACATCAGCCTGTACGACCAGCAAGTTYTTCTCTCTACTACCATTACCTTCGCTTGTTTTTTTACTTTTGATGTTAGAATGGACCGGTTTGGGTATGGGACACTCCGCCAAACTGGGTTGATCGTGTTTATTAATGTTTGTYGTAGGAGCTTGACCACGAGAAGCTTTCGAAGATGGTTGTTCCTCATCATGATTCATCGTTATCCCGTTGTCAGAATTGTCATCATCACTTTGATTCAAGAAATCTTTTACGATTTTCTCAACACGGCAAGCGTTTTCCACTTCCCACAAATGCCGGCAGGAACTCCCTTCGCCAAATACCTCGACCATTTTAGGCACAAGTCCAGTCAGAAAGACGGCCAGTGCTTTAGTTGACTCATCTAAATTGGATCTTCCGTAAATCAGAATTGACGAAAAGGTCAAACACAGGAACAAAATAATGATAGTTAGTTTTAGGATCATATTGGTGTACACAACACKCCTTGGTAAAATCCTATCTATAACATGCTGAAAAAGTTCAGGGGAAATTCTTGGCACCCCTTCCTCGTCAAATGTCAACGCTTTCCTTCCATTGGGCTGTTTTTCTTGATGCTTTTTACACTTTTTGAACGTTTGTTCAAGTAGAATTTGGTATCTACTTTTCACAGAGCTCAGACAGTTCCAAGAKTAGTACACAAAAACAGCAAAAACTGCAATGCGTGGAAAATAGTAATCTTTGCTGGCAACAAGCCCCATCCAAACATACACAATCAAGTTTGTAAATAACAGCAATGAGCTTTCGAATATTACTCCAAATGCCAAAACTAAACAGAAAAAAAGAAGCACAACAATAGCTGCAACAACAATAGCTGCAACAACAATAGCAGCAACACAAAGAGAAAAAATAATAACATAATAAAAACATATATGAACATCACCAGAACTTCTGTCATCACACTCAAAAATCCATAAGTAATAATAAGAAGCATGATAGACTAAGGAGCGCATCATTTTGCCTAATGGTGATACATACGCGATATAAGAAATGRAAATGAATACAATTACAACCGGGGAAAGCAACATCAGAACAAAGCTGCCAAGGAGAGCAGCAAGCCTTGAAAAGAATGACCTTTCACTATCTGTTGCTTTTCCAAATAGGGACTTTAGCCAACAGAAAAAGTCTTTGATCCAAAGGAATGGTTCCAACCAATTTATCTTAATATCTTTTTCTTTCTCGAGAAGAGACTGTAATGACTCTGATGAACACTTCAGGTTTTCAGTTCGTGGAAGAAAAGAAGCCAATAAGACTACACCATAATAGACTAAGATCACAAACAAGAAAGAAACACTTCTATTTTTAGAAAAAACCCATAGTTTTTTAACATATTCGTTAAACATCTTAGGTATGTCGTAGGTTTTGGTGTAGTATTGGAGGCCTAAGTCAATATAATACAACGTCGGCAGGGCGAAAACAATAAGGAGTTTTCTTATCACGTTTACACAGTAATATTTAGTTGAATAATGTCGAAGTGCTTGAACGATAGAGATTATAAAATGGTAAAGAGGATTGTGGACTTGACTGTTGGCATACAAGGTTTCCGAGTTCTTTTTATCCGGGACAAYATTGGAAAGAGCGGGAAAACACAAGAGAGCGATGAAAGCTGCAATTGCTACCGCTGTGAAAATGATAGCCATTTCCGGGCCAAGAACAGCAGGAATGTCACATTCAACTTCTTGTGTTTCAACCTTTCCTTTGCAGCATCTGTAATTCACTGTATTAGAGTCATTAACGGCGTAACATAGCACGCCGCTTTCTTTAGTTACGTTACCCAGAAAGGCTCTGGCCAAATTCGCTGTTATACAACTGTGGCTCATGTTCCGCAAGCAATTGATCGGCTCGACCTCYACCGTGACTGTCATATGATGTATAATTCTTGATAAAGTCGTTAAAGAATAAACATTAAAGCCCAAATCCAAGGACAAGAATGGTGCTTCGATACTATCAACCCAAACCAAGTTCAGAGGGTTTAAAATATCAGATTTATCTGAAGGCTCAAGCGATAAATTGTAACCAGAAAAATGTACAAACAATACTTGCGTCGAGCGTAAAGAGAAGGAGTCAAATTTGTCAACAGACGAACGGGGAACACTAACTGCACACTTATTCTGACAAGCAGGCTCCAGTGGTGTTGGAAATTCTTTCCCTCTATTATATCGTAGAATTGTTTGGATGAAAGGGAGATACCCGAYACTCACTACTGCTACTATGGCAAAGATATTGAGATAATGAATAATAATAACTGAAATTCTTGTTGTTTGTTTCGTATATCGTGCCATTCTCAATCGGAGTTGTTCGCGGAGTTGATCTTAAACGCAATACATCCAGACTAACTCAGTCTWTCCTCAAAATACGACCACCAACTTCAGTCTTGGTAAGGCTGAGTTCCCTTACGAAAATGAATACACGCCTAAATTACCGACAGTATATGAGGCTGTAGCTGACCTTTCTTACTTCCCAGGAGCATCCAGTTTACTTCTCAGAACAGAAACGACATCTAACCTTTAATAAATCCGGGCTTTGTAAATGTAAGCTTGAACCAATTTCAGTGGGTATAACTTTGATCAGACTGAACAGCTTATCCAATGTTATTCAGTGGCAACCTCGAGTCCCCTCTTTCGTGTCTCGCMGAGATAGCACATAAGCAGGCACATGCTTAGTCTCCTACGCAGCCGCTATTAGTGTCGTCMCGCAACGCTTCACTCTCTCTAAAAAGTCACTGCCAATTAGTGACAGTCGTGACAGTGACTTTTTTACTAATGGTCAGGCTTCCTTTCTCTGTCGAGGTCTTCTACAGTAAATGAATGTGGTTTGCTTGATAAATCACTTTTTCCGYAAGATTTATGGAAAAATCCGATTTTTTCGTCTACCATTTTTCGTATTTCTCAGTGTCGTTATTCAGCTAGAGCCGAATTTTACCACTATCGAGCCATACAACAGACTCTTACATTAACTGTATTATACTGGCACAAAAGCCAAGCTTGGGCTCCCCGTAGTCACATTATCGGCCCCTCCCCTTCCCTTCAAGAGCTTGGCTACGCACGCTACAACACCAGCAACAGACAATAACAACAGCTACACTCAGCCAACAACAACAACAACAACAACAACAACAACATGAACTGCATCAAAACTACTAACAACACCCTGAACAACAACCACAGCAATAACATCACCACCACAACCATAACACAACAATATTATTTTGGTTCGAAGGAGTCATTAGCCTCCTTTGCAGACGTTTTAAGGGTCGTCACGCAACGCTTACCTAAGAACGTCTACGTAGGAGGCTACGATATGCCGACTTTTTGATGTACCGTAGCTTCTTTCCCCCTGATCCCTTTTATTGGTTCGGCGTTTCGGGGATCAAACAATMCCCCCGGAAAATCCTAGCTACGCCCCTGTTTGACTCACATTAACATCGCTTCACTATCCTATATGTGCACTAATTTGTTGAACTAGATTAGTCTGCGTCACATCCGGAGTTTTCTTCGTTRAGTTCACAAAATTTTCTTTCCGGATGTGACACAGGCTACCACTAGATAAGAAACTGACTTTTGAAGTACAATTTGACAAGGTTGTCTTCGACAGAATTCTGATTACCCCTCCCCCATTCTAGAGTTTAGCCTGGTCAATGCTATGTTTGTACACGTTTATTGAATAGCCATAAGGATAATACGTTTCTTTTTGCGCATGCATSTGCAAAAATCTATAATACGTTATGTAAATCCCTACAAACTTCAACAAAGCTCAAGAAATTTCTATCAAACTTCGATAATATTCATAAAGTTCAACACTGATGTTCTTTTACGTTCTACAAATTACTTATATGAATTTCTATAGCATTCTATTCTACCGGAAATTTGTGCTAAACTTCTGTAACAATGTAAACTACAAACCCCCACTATTGCATTTAAAGATTATAGGAAAATATATGAAGATATATTAACGCACCTCAAAAGCAAGTCTCTAGAAGTTGTCCTATCCGAACGGCTAGGACAACTGTTTAGTGAACTGAAAATCAACTATGGATAGAAACTAGCTGCTGAAAGTTCAATATTATAGATATCAACGTTAGTTAAAGACCTCAGGATGGACCAACGATGGGCGGGCATCTGATCACTGCATTTGATCGGTGTCGGTTCAGACCGTCAAAATGTACATAGTATTCAAAATGTCCCGCCCAGGGTCCCTTCGTTAACTGAGGTTTACGTTTATAACACTARCCTCTTGCACAATATGTGTGTCATTCTAGGGAATGACCTCAAATGTCACTCCATCATGCAAACACTTATTAATGATTATAGATCTATTACCAGGTAGCAATATCAAAATTATTTTTTCTGGACTAGCGTTCTTTCAGAAAAAAAAAATTCCAGAAATTATCGGTCCTCTGATGCACGCTTACATAGTCTTAGCCGGAAATAAGGTAAAACTACAAAAGAATGGAAACGAGGGCTAAGCTAATAAGCTAATATATTTACAAATTCCGTTCTCCTGAGGAAAAAAAAAGCTCGTTTACTACAACAACAGTCCATTTACTGCCATCTTTTRATATTAGATTACTTTGTTATTGAAAAAGAATGACCATTAGGAATCGCTCCCATACCACTTCCGGCTTAGAGTATCGCGCACACGAAAGACTATGATATTATGCTTCTTACACACTAGCTTTTTTATGTTTTTCTTTCTT